AAAAACTTTGACCATTTTTTTGGAATAAATCAGCGACTTTGCAGTGTATTTTCGTATGGTATTTATTGTTGTATTCTAGTTTTCTTGGTCTCATTTTATAGAATGGAAGACATATTACAGAAATTGAGATGATTTTGACTGGTTTTACAATGAAAGGTGCCTTGAAATTGAGCTCAAAGTAGCAGAAATGTTCGATTTTTACCAAACTTCAAAAGTAAACAAATCGTGCCAAGCGTGCAGTACACGTCAACTGGTGAGTCTAATATTCTTTCACAAGTGCACCAATAATATTTATACCATTTTTTACACTAATGCAGTAGTCTGCATAACAGTAAATCTTATATTTTTTGTGAGAATAAAAATTCAAAGTGGAAAGCAAAAGAATATAAGAGGGACCTTGAGACGTGACTAATGACTAGAGGAAATGTCATTTTAGTGCCAGGAATGTCTTTCTTGTTTATTCTGGACCCTATTCGGAAATTGGCATCTTTTGAAATTTGTGTGAAATTGGCAAAATTGCTAAACTCTGACCACTGTACTGGATAGTTGAATTTCATAAATGGGTGGTTTCTTGCACCCATTCGATAGACAAAATGGAGTTCTAGTGAAATAATCATGTTTTTTGTCGACTAGTACAGTGAAATTGGCCGAAAATGAGGCTCAAAGTGGGCAAAATCGCCGATGCGTAAACATCGCCGAGACCGCTAACTTTGCGAGAGCATAATTCCGTAAGTTTTCTATCAAATTTCAAACTTTTGGTGTCTTTATGATCGGGAAAAGATTCTCTATCTTTTCTTAAGAGAAAATAATTTTTTTTTTTTTTTAAATTTGGCCGACCCTGAGAACGAGTTTCGGAGAGGGCCTGTCGACCCTCAAAGGGTTAAAGAAAATAATCTAACAAAGTGGGAGTCGTCATAGTTGCTTTTTGCTGATGACACCTTACTCTTGGGAGATTCTGAAGAGAAGGTGCAGAAGTTGGTGGGTGGGTTTGGAAGGGTATGTAAAAGAAGGAAATTAATAGTGAAAATAGGAAAGAGTAAGGCTGATTTTTGGGTGAAAATTTTGCTCTGTATTTTGGCTGTATTATACGCGTCAGCCTGCCTCCCACCAGGACGTCGCGCATAGGTGAGTCAGTCTCCTTGTGTCTCGGTGAATGAGCATATACTCCATGCATTCATCCAAACATTTCCTTAAAATCCATTGGTTTTTGTAGTTGTTTATTAAGTGCAACTGTGAAATAAGCCACCATGGGCCCAAAGAAAGTTCCTAGTAAAGTTCCTTTGGTAAAGACAGTAAGAAACACAATAGAATTTAAGAAAATTGTAGAAAAATACGAGTAGTGTGCGTGTGCTCCAGCTTGCCAAGATGTATGGCAAAAACAAATCAACAATCACTTCTATCCTGATGTAGCGAAAGGGGTAAACATGTTAATGAAAGAGAGATCACAAACAATGGAAGATGTGGAGAGAGGCAGGGAGTGTAGCAGGCAGGCAGGGAGTGTAGCATGGGAGGGAGGGAGTGTAGCATGGGAGGGAGGGAGTGTAGCATGGGAGGGAGGGAGTGTAGCAAGGAGGCAGGGAGTGTAGCAGACATGCATGGAGTATAGCAGGGAAACAGGGAGTGTGGAAGGGAGGCAGGGTATGTAGAAGGGAGGCAGGGAATGTAGAAGGGAGGCAGGGAGTGTAGAAGGGAGGCAGGGAGTGTGGAAGGGAGGCAGGGAGTGTAGCAGGCATGTAGGGAGTGTAGCAGGCATGCAGGGAGTGTTGCAAGGAAACAGGGAGTATGGAAGGGAGGCAGGGAGTGTAGCAGGGAAACAGGGAGTGTGAAAAAGAGGCAGGGAGTGTAGCAGGCAGGGAGTGCAGCAGGGAAACAGGGAGTGTGGAAGGGAGGCAGGGAGTGTAGCAGGCAGGCAGGGAGTGTAGCAGGCAAGCAGGGAGTGTAGCAGGGAAACAGGCAGTGTGGAAGGAAGGCAGGGAGTGTAGCATGCAGGCAGGGAGTGTAGCAGGCAGGCAGGGAAGTAACCCCAGAGAGGGCTTTGATACCTGGAGTCCTTATGGAGGGGGATTCCCCTTCCAAACAATAATCAGTCCTCCCTCTCTCCTCCTCCTCCCTGTCTTCCATAAGCCAACAAGAGTCTCCAATAAAGGTATGTAATAGTGATTTAAATGTTCATTTATTTATTTTATTTAGTTCTCATTGTTTTGTGTATGTAAAACTATAATTAATCTTTAAAAAATGCATTTTTTGTTAATATTTTTGGGTGTCTGGAATGGATTAACCCTTTGACTGTTTTCGACGTATAAATACGTCTTACGAGCCAATGTTTCTGACGTATATATACTCAATAATTCTAGCGGCTTCAAATCAAGTGGGAGAAAGCTGGTAGGCCCACATGTGAGAGAATGGGTCTGTGTGGTCAGTGTGCACCACATAAAAAAAATCCTGCAGCACACATTGCGTAATGAGAAAAAAAAACTGATCGTTTTTTTGGAATAAAACGCCGAATTTGAGGTGTATTTTCGTATAGTATTTATCGTTGTATTCGCGTTTTCATGGTCTTAGGTGATAAAATGGAAAACATATTACAGAAATAGAGATGATTTTCATTACTTTTACGATGAAAACGACCTTGAAACTGAGCTCAAAGTAGCGGAAATGTTCGATTTTTACCAATGTTCAAGAGTAAATAAATCACACCACACGACCAATACACGTCAACTGGGGAGTCTAATATTCTTTCACTAGTGCACTGATATTATTTATACCATTTTTACAATAATGCAGTCGTCTGCATAACAGTAAATTTTGTATTTTTTTGTATGAATAAAAAATCAAAATAGAAAGCAATAATAATATAAGAGGGGCCTAGAGATGTGACTAATGAACAGAGCATATGTTATTTTAGTGCCACGAATGTCTACCTTGTTTATTCTGGACCCTATTTTGAAATTGGCATCTTTTTTATTTTGCGTGAAATTGGCCAAATTGCCAATTTCTGACCACCATATTGGGTAGTCCAAATTAGTAAATGGGAGGTTTCTTGTACTCAGCTGATAGATAAAATGGAGTTCTAAAGAAATAGCTATGAGTTTGGTCAACTGGAATAATGGAATTGGCTGAAAATAGGGCTCAAAGTCAGCGAAATCGCCGATACGCATATGTCGCCGAGACCGCCAACTTCGCGGGAGCATAATTCCACGAGTTTTCGACCAAATTTCGAACTTTTGGTGTCATTACCATCGGGAAAAGATTCTCTATCATTTCATAAGAAAAAATAATTTTTTTTTTTTTCAAAAATTGAGCGACATAGAATGACAGTTTCAGAGAGGGGCCTGAAACAGTCAAAGGGTTAATTGTATTACATTAATTCTTATGGGAAATATTGCTTCGAGTTTACGCCTTTTCGAATTTAGGCCGACCATCTGGAATGGATTACAGCCGATATTTGGGGTTCCACTAACTGAAATGAAGGTGGAAATATGAGAAGTACTAACTGAATGTTCCACTTTGTCTACAAGAGATATTTTGTTTGTAGCAGACAGAAAATAAAAAATAATTAAATCAGATGATAGTGTAACTAAAGGAGCAGTAAATAAATTATTACTGGATGTTGATAACAAAAAAAAAAAAAAAAGCAAGAGGACCAGAAGAGATTATAAGAATGACTAAAAAAAGTGTGGGGGTAATTTTGCAGACAAATGGAAGATAGCATACACTGTACCACAATTTAAGAAAGGTGACATGGGAAAATCCTTTAAACTAAGTTTGTTTTGCTGACAGTTGTAAAAATATTGAAAAGTCATAAAAAATCAATTAAGCTACAGTATTATGACAGTCACAGAAGTTGTTCACAACAAAAATGGACAAGCAGGGTGTATTTATCTAAGATCTTAAGAAGGCTTTTACTCACTTTCCCCACAACAAACTAATCTGGAAGCTTCCAGACATGGGACAAGTAAATGGCAAATCGTTAAAATGGATGAGACAGAAAACTGCATATAATGATAAGAGGTGACATGTCCTCTTGGGAAACTGTTACCTGTGAGATGCCACAAGGATGTATACTTGCCCCCATGTTCTTAAGTTACATAAATAACTTGAAGAAATACAAAGTTATATGAATTTGTTTGTAGACGATGCAATTTCCTATGCAAAATATACAATAAAAATTATTTAATCTTTATAAGATGAGTTGGATAAACTGAGCAACTGGAATGACAGATGGATGATGGAATTTAATATTTATAAATGACAAAGGAAGTGAGAAAAAGCAAAATCAGGCCACAAAATATAGATTGTGATCAACTTTTGAGAGTATTATACAAGAGGAGGAGATCTAGAATTGATATTAATAAAAGAAATTTTCACCAGATCATATAGCTCAAATTGAGAAATTCACATACTACTACACTGGCTAACTATAAAATAGCATTCTAACATATGGATGGATGCTGAAAAGCTGTTTACAACATATATTAGGTCAAAACTGGAATATGCAGTGGTTATGTGGTGTTTCCATCTAACAAGCTCACACTAGCTGATTGGAGGGAAAGAGGAGATATGATACCTAAACATGTATGGTTATAGGAGGATATGAAGGAATTGAGAGGTTTTTTGGTATCTTCAAGAGATAACAAAAGGCCACATATAAATTAAGAAAAATGGAGCAAAAGGGATACTGCAAAATTTTCTGTTACACATTCTGTAGAGTGGTAGAAGAACAGAATAAGCCAAAAGAGGTAATAAGAGCTACAACCATCAAAAATTTAAAAAAAAATATATGAAGAACATATTAAAGACAGGACACCATGAGTATAGCTCTTCTACCATAGCTACAAATAGATAATTACAGTACATGGGTACAAACATGTATACACATTAACTACAAATGGGTAATTATGCTACATGCAGGTATAACATATACATAGTATATGAGCACTTAAGACAGAAATAAATTCTGAGCACATTTAGCTCAAAACATGGAAGATAAGCAAACAAACTCACCAGTGACAATGAGAACAAAGGCTGGATCAAGAGCAATGTTAGTGAGACGACTAAGGTTATTAAATGTGTCTTTCTCTGTCCATGCCCACACCCCAATTGCCAAGATGCTGAGTCCCATCAACTGAAAAAATAAAGATGATATTAATAACTTCCCTAGTTTTCTTTATTTTGAAAGCAATAAGGGGATGAAAATGGCACAAGAGAAAGTTTGTAATGTATGCAAATTAAAATTTCATAAATATAAGCTGCTTACTGTTACAATAAACCCGATCCCTATCAGATCACTAGCCCATCTTCCAACCTTACATGGGGCTTGTTTGTTTTTTGTGTAACAATAAATTATACTTTTTTTGTGTTTAAAGATCTTAAGTCAATTGAATATTTCAGAACTGTTTCCAAAAGTCAAAGAATAGGGAGAATGAAAAGAAATATAAAACTTTAATAAAACCTTTCAGGAAATAATGTACAATGGCAAATTAAAGTCTTTTCTACAACATAAAGTTCAAGTCTTTTGTATATTCACCAAGGATTAGATAAAAATAGTACATATGCCTGACTAGAAGTTAAGATAAAGGGGTGAAAGAGCCACACCCATACCACCTGTAATGGAAACCTCAGCCTAAAATGTATAGAAAATGCACAATGTTCCATAAAGATTTCACTGTCATGTGCTCATACCTTTCTTGTGGAAATACTATACTGTATATATAGTACTGCACATATTGTAACCAATAATGGAAGACCATTTGGGTGTTGCAATTGCATGGTTTTCAGTGTAGTATTCCTTGAGTGTTTTCTTCAGTCTGTATTTCCCTGGTTGAAGATGGTTTTATTCAAATTAATAGAGGGTTTGTAACTCAGGATAACCTAAGAGGTCCAAACATTGTGACATGTTTCTATTGGGGGTCCTTTTGATCCTTTTCCCCAGGATGTGATCCATGGCTACTAGACAACATTAGACACTACCTGTGTAAGCAGCACCTGGATTAAATTCCTGTAAACAAATGTAAACAAATGTGCTTTGAAGCCTAGATTCAGACAAAATTCTGATGTAGCCCTCCCTCTCTTCACAAAGGAAGGAAAAAAAAAATGAGACTAGTAGCACTATGATCTCACGTTATCTTATTGTTATGACTAAGTCAATATGGATTTAGAGTAAGATTATCATTCTTGTCACAGAAGCTCCCTGGTTGAACAAGTACAAGGAAGCCTGGCCAAAGGTCAGGCTGGCAGGGTAGAAAAGCCCTCAATATCAGTCACATAAAAATGAACAAGGATAGCATGTGTTAGGAAACTAACTCTAGCCCCCAGCTAGGATAACACCCAGTTGTCTGTTTTAAGCTGTATGTGCAACCCTGAGCTATGAGAGCTTTTATTTTCCAGTAATAACATGGCTTCTTAACAGGAAGTAAATGATAGCTACTACTGGAAAGCTGTCTAGTTACACATTTGTCTTATCACACAGGTACCTCAAGAGGGACTAAGTTCATTATACATATTACTAGGGATCGGGTAACACCAAATACCAATCCTCAATTTTAGGCTGAAACCAATACCATCAAAAATAGCCGATACTCAGAGATGCCCAAAAAATTAGCCAGTACCCACCAATAGCGATACTCAGTTTTAGACCAATACAAATATTTACCATCAAAATTGGCTGATAACACCGATACTGACACTTTAGCAAACCCACTACACATTACACTATTGATATTGATGACAGTATTATACTTAAATGAGAGCAAAAAGGCACAATACCATGACTGGAACAATACACAAATAACCCACACATAGGAGAGAGGAGCTTACAACAACATTTTGGTCCAACTTGGACCATTTAAAAAGTCACACATTTATAAAGTGTGATTTTGTAAATGGGCCAAGGTGGACCGAAAGGTCGTTGTAAGCACCTCTCTCCTATGTGTGGGTTATCTGTGTATACTTACACAAGGATATGCAAAAGGTATACATTTGTATTTGTAGCATAAATTATTTAATGTTTCCAAGTGCAAATGCACTCACTCAAGATAAAAAATAAACAAGCATCACTAACACCCAAACTTTTTCTTACCAGACTTAAACCATTAGTCCTTGAAAATATAATGCTACAGGAGTCAAAATTGCACATTAAATCCTCAGGATCATAATGAAAACCTATTAGTATAAAAAATAAAGACAACATCTTTAGCATAGAGGAAATGTCTATAGAATAAGGTCATTAGTCTGTAGAAAGTAATCAGATATAAAGTACAGTGGACCCCCGGTTAACGATATTTTTTCATTCCAGAAGTATATTCAGGTGCCAGTACTGACCGAGTTTTTTCCCATAAGGAATATTGTGAAGTAGATTAGTCCATTTCAGCCCCCCAAACATACACGTACAAACGCACTTACATAAATACACTTGCATAATTGGTCGCATTGGGAGGTGATCGTTAAGCGGGGGTCCACTGTACAGTGGTACCTCAGGATACGAACTCAATTCATTCCAGAAGGCTGCTCGAGTGCTGATACCGAACGAATTTGTTCCCATAAGGAATAATGTAAATTAGATTAATCCATTTCAGATCCACAAAAATACACTTACAAAAGCACTTACATAAATACACTTACATAATTGTTCGCGTTTTGAGCTGTTCGTATCCCGAGGTACCACTGTACTATAAAATTATTAAAATCAAAGACCTGGGGTACTGTACAGTGGAACCTTGACACTCAAAGTTAATTGGTTCCAGAAGGCTGTTCGAGTGCCGATCTGTTCAAGTACAGAACAAATTTTTCCAAACCAACTTTCTTTTTGGTTGTCTGTTATCACTAACCCTCTTAGGCCCCATGGTGACTTTTTTATACAAATATAAAAAAAAATCATAAAACGTGAAGAAACATGAAATAGTTTACAGCGAAGTTCTGGCAGGTTGTGTTTGCTTAGTCAAGTGCCAAGCAATTTGTTTACCGAACAAAGCGTTTGAATATCAAATTGTTCGAGTACAGAGCTGTTTGAGTACAGAGGTTCCACTATACTGTACGTGAAGTTCAAAAACTACTTTTTTTTTTTTTTTTTTTTGTTTTCAAGAGATTCACATGCAAGGCATTGCCATAATGGATGTATTCAACAGTGTCCATTGACTAGAGGGCCTAAATTTAGCCTCAAAAACTATATACAGTACTCTATACTAAAAAAATGCAGTAAATTTAATACAAAATGTTATGATTCTAGGACCAACAGAAACAGACATGCTACATATGATTACTTATCAGAAAGTAGCAAATAAGAGACTACTAGAAGAGTACAAGTAAGAAGTGCTTAGTCTCGCAATAAACAGGGGATCAAGCCTCCACTACTTCCTGCTATGAATAACCCACATGGATGTTTAGGCATTCACATAAATAATAAATAAATATGCAGTATACACGTGTATATACAGTATGTGTATATACTGTACAATAAGTCCTCTTTACAAAAAGACACTACATACTGCAATTGTCTAAATAATATTGGAAATGTGCATTTTCTCTTGTGTAGCACTTGGAAAAGCATTCATAGTACATTTAAGTGTGGATGCATAGCTACATGCAAAAACTTTAGTACAGGAGTCAGCACCATGACGTTCTTTTGTACCCCCTTGCCTATGTTTGGTTAACAGGTCAAATATTTGGAGAGGAACAACTCCTTCCCTTCCCCACCTCCTACAATTGTTTTCTGGGAATGACATATGCCTTATTGTGTTTATCAAATGATTTTAGATATTTTTGTCACCCCCATCTCATCTCTAGATACTGACTACAGCACTCAAGAATATCAGTGATGCTGGCAGTGAAAAATACATGAATAAGTGTGAAACTGACAATGCTAAAGAATGTATAAATTTTAGATATACAGGAGAGCCCTGCTTATATAGGTCAGCCATCAGTAATCCGGCAATCAGTTATCCAGTTCCATCAATAATCCGGCACTAATTTCGGCTAGCATAATTTCAAATTTCATCATTATACTGACTCAAATTTCATCATCATTATACTGACTCAAATATTGTGCAGATGTCCCAATGATGCTGGATTAGTGATGGCTGACCTGTACAGCTAAAGATCACTTTGCCTTGCTCCTCTGTAAAATATGCAACAGGTTATTTCAAGTGCATGCCTATACTAATTTGTCATGTCCAGAATCCCTATGCTTTAAAAGGTCGTGACATGAGGAGCTATTACAGTAATCAAGTGCCACTACACAAGCACAGCAATAAAAAAAAAAACTCATTGCAGCAATACATAGCAGCTCTGAAACTGGCATGTCAGAGATCTGGCATATATTTAACACTGCAGGTGCACTTGTACATGTAAAAGTGTCATAGGATAAGTGCCTCCATCAACCATAAATGTAGGCTAGAGTTAATTTTGGCCTTCAGTGGGGAATTTCTCTGGTTTTCCTCTATAAGGTGTTGGGTCCAAGAGATTGTGGTGGTGTATGATATACATGAAGGATGACTAGAAGAACTGCAGATAAAATGCTGGATGAGTTACATTTCCAGGAGAGAGAGAGATAAAAGAGGATAAGGAAAAACCTGTAGACAAACAGTTAACACCAAGTTACTTAACCAGTTTCATGTTACTGGTAAAGTTGAAGATTTTTGGTCAGTTGTATAGAGTACTGCAGGGTAAAAATAGACCAGATACATTACAGAATACTCGAGCACTCACAACTCTGAATCCACAACATAAGAAGTGTAGCCATCCACTTAGCCCTCTCCACACACTTCTTCCACATCAACAAACTACAACTAAAATGAAAGATATATAAATTGCATTAACTTGTACCTAACAGAATATTTAAAAAAATAATAATTACTTTAAAGGCACTAATTTTCAAAAGCGTATGCCCATGTAATAAAAGGGTTTCTTCTTCAAATTGTGGGTTACTAGTGAATTGTTCCAGTCATGGTTTAGTGACCTTTTACATTTTTAAGTTCTAGGACCGATAATTAAGGATGCAGAGAAAACAAATTAGCACAGTATTAATCATGTCTATCCTGAAAGGTAAAAGTTAATAATGTCCCAAAATGAAGTGATGTACATGCTTAAAGTCTATGTGCAACCCGCTTCAGGAAGAGGATATTAAAACTAACGAGGAAGTGCCTAATGAAACGAAGGCTTTGTAGTAGAGGTAAATGGCCCTTAAGATTTTTAATCATGATAAACCACTATTATCCTTACAGTGATTACGAACTGCTGTAATTACGATAGAACAGTAGTTAAATGTCCCATAACGGGAGTTAAACAATATTACAGTTCCAGGAAGTGATGTCACACGGGGGAAGTGTCTCTTTGTCCCAGTTCATACTTCCAGTTCACTGACTTCCTCCTCATCTCTGCTAGTTAACCCGGAATAAACCTCCACTGTCTACACTTACACTTTTATGTTAACATTCGTCTAACCTGAGATAGCCACAAATCTAAGCAGAATGACTTTTTTGACAGGTGACGGGAGAAAGGTCACTTGGGGGGGATGTAAACACAGACAAAGTACTCACCCAAAATATCACATTGAAGCCGAATATGACATACTTCAGGCAGCAGCTGACCTCACTCTGATCCCGCCTGTACCGCTTGACAGGCATCTTGGTCAGAATCGCCGCCTGGAAGCAACAATTTTACGATAAAACGAGCACCATCGTCTCCGACCTCCACCGCCCCGCTTTCCTCTCTGGCCGCCAGATGACGCCGTCTACACTCACACAGAAAACGTACCTAACACTTATATTATAATTATATTCATGGAGGAGCACTAAATTCGTAGGGGTCATAGAGAGCCTGAGAAATGGGAGCCAATGTGATTCATTCAAGGAAAGGGATGGTAGCTCTAATTCTCTGAATCAAGAACACTTCAACATCAAAGCAAGGACCCCAATGGAAATAAGTCAAGGACCCCAATGGAAATAATTCAAGGATCCCAATGGAAATAATTCAAGGACCCCCAATAGAAATAAGTCAAGGACCCCAATAGAAATAAGTCAAGGACCCCAATGAACGTAAGTCACTGACTTATTGGGGGGTTATCCTAGATAATTTACTATATGCTACTGTGTATGATAATTGTACTTATGTGGACCTGTACCTAAATAAATTTACTTGCTGAAGGATGCAGAAATTATTTTGTTCTTGCTCTAGGCATCTAACTTTTTGTTAGATTTAAAGACTGAGGAGGAGCTGGGAAAGTAGGTTTTCAGGTCTTGACACCCACTTTCCTTGCTCACCTAGCAGTAAATATAGGTACGTAGGTGGTAAGACACCCTAGTGGAGATGAACCACATTAACTTTACTGGGTCATGCAAGGTTAAATCCATATGACGCATTATATATATATATATTGTGAACCTGAAACAGATGAAGGTTAAGATTTTGTTATCATTCCTCGTCTTACTTCATAGTCCAGCCCTATTTAAGGTATCATTTATAGGTGAAAATAGGGGCAAAAACAGGTGTAAGGAAACATGCCCAATCTTTCCACTCGTCCTTAGATCGAAGCCAGGTCCCTCAATTTTGAGACAAGGGAGCTGCTACTTGAGCCACTAGTGTCTGTTTTTTTACATCTGTCGGTATTATACATCATGTGATACAACTATTAACCTGTAATAATAAACTGTGCAAAAAAGCGTACAGCCCTGAAACGCTATAATGAGGCGCTTTCCCTTATTTAATGGAGGCTCACGCCTGAGTTAACACTTGGAACACATGTGAAAATGGAGATTATATGACTATGTATACTCACCTATACGTAGTTGTTGGGGTAGAGTCTCAGCTACTGCCCCCTCCTCTTTGTCGGTCACTATTAAGTTCACTCCTGGCTTCGAGAGCTTATCGTACCTCTTATTAAAGCTATGTATGGGTCCTGACTCAACCATTTCATTATCCATGTCGTTCCACTTCCTGACTAAGACTGAAGAAATACTTCCTAACATCCCAGTGACTTATCTGTGTTTTCAACTTCCAGCTGTGTCCTCATGTTCATGTTTCCCGTTTCTCAGTTTGTCTCAGTCCACACTATCAATTCCTCTCAATATTCTGTATATATGTGTACACGATAAGAAAGTGGTACAAATATAAAGACCCCAAACGAAAATATATCACGCTGACTTTATGAGTTCATTCGGTTAAATCTACACAATATACCTGGAGTATACCTGGAGAGGATTTCGGGGATCAAAATTCCCGCGGCCCGATCTGTGACCAGGCAGACAGGATAAGACCAGAAGACAAAAAGAATGCAGATGTAATATATACAGACTTTGCAAAAGCCTTCGACAAATGTGACCATGGCGTAATAGCACACAAAATGCGTGCTAAAGGAATAACAGGAAAAGTTGGTCGATGGATCTATAATTTCCTCACTAACAGAACACAGAGAGTAGTAGTCAACAGAGTCAAGTCCGAGGCAGCTACGGTGAAAAGCTCTGTTCCACAAGGCACAGTACTCGCTCCCATCTTGTTCCTCATCCTCATATCTGACACAGACAAGGATGTCAGCCACAGCACCGTGTCTTCCTTTGCAGATGACACCCGAATCTGCATGACAGTGTCTTCCATTGCAGACACTGCAAAGCTCCAGGCGGACATCAACCAAATCTTTCAGTGGGTTGCAGAAAACAATATGAAGTTCAACGATGAGAAATTTCAATTACTCAGATACGGTAAACACGAGGAAATTAAATCTTCATCAGAGTACAAAACAAATTCTGGCCACAAAATAGAGCGAAACACCAATGTCAAAGACCTGGGAGTGATCATGTGATCAAGGACCATAACATTGTATCAATCGCATCTGCTAGAAAAATGACAGGATGGATAATGAGAACCTTCAAAACTAGGGATGCCAAGCCCATGATGACACTCGTCAGGTCACTTGTTCTATCTAGGCTGGAATATTGCTGCACACTAACAGCACCTTTCAAGGCAGGTGAAATTGCTGACCTAGAAAATGTACAGAGAACCTTCACGGCGCGCATAACGGAGATAAAACACCTAAATTACTGGGAGCGCTTGAGGTTCCTGAACCTGTATTCCCTGGAACGCAGGCGGGAGAGATACATGATTATATACACCTGGAAAATCCTAGAGGGACTAGTACCGAACTTGCACACGAAAATCACTCACTACGAAAGCAAAAGACTTGGCAGACGATGCAACATCCCCCCAATGAAAAGCAGGGGTGTCACTAGCACATTAAGAGACAATACAATAAGTGTCAGGGGCCCGAGACTGTTCAACTGCCTCCCAGCATACATAAGGGGGATTAACAACAGACCCCTGGCAGTCTTCAAGCTGGCACTGGACAAGCACCTAAAGTCGGTTCCTGACCAGCCGGGCTGTGGCTCGTACGTTGGTATGCGTGCAGCCAGCAGTAACAGCCTGGTTGATCAGGCTCTGATCCACCAGGAGGCCTGGTCACAGACCGGGCCGCGGGGGCGTTGACCCCCGGAACTCTCTCCAGGTAAACTCCAGGTAGGCCTCGTTGTGGATCAGGGCCTGATCAACCAGGCTGTTACTTTTGGCCGCACACAGCCTGACGTACGAACCACAGCTCGGCTGCATATAACAGTATCATTGTAAAAACAATAATGTATGTTATTCATGGAAGCCCTAAATATAAACTTACTAACAAGACTTGTACAGGAAAGCAACGTGACTGCACGTGTTTATTTGCGTCTACGCAAATAAACACAGAGAAGCTTGTTTATTTGCAAATAAACATGGGGAAGCGCTAAACCCTTACGGGTTCAGCGCTTCCCCATGAATGAAGAGCACCTCGCTGGCATCAATCAAGGCTCACAAGGCAACGAGTCATGGTACGTGATAAGGTATCACAGTGGGTGCCTGTGACGAGCGGGGTCCCACAGGGGTCAGTCCTAGGACTAGTGCTATTTTTGATATATGTGAATGACATGATGGAAGGGATAGACTCTGAAGTGTCCCTATTTGCAGATGATGTGAAGCTGATGAGAAGGATTAAATCGGATGAGGATCAGGCAGGACTACAGAGAGACCTGGACAGGCTGGACACGTGCTCCAGAAACTGGCTTCTCGAATTCAACCCTGCAAAATGCAAAGTCATGAAGATTGGGAAGGGCAAAGAAGACCGCAGACAGAGTATAAGCTAGGTGGACAAAAGCTGCAAACCTCACTCAAGGAGAAAGATCTTGGAGTGACCATAACACCGTACACGTCTCCGGAGGCACACATCAGCCAGATAACTGCTGCAGCATATGGGCGCCTGACAAACCTGAGAATAGCGTTCCGATACCTTAGTAAGGAATCGTTCAAGACACTGTACACTGTATACGTCAGGCCCATACTGGAGTATGCAGCACCAGTTTTAAACCCACACCTGGTCAAGCACGTCAAGAAATTGGAGAAAGTACAAAGGTTTGCAACAAGGCTAGTTCCGGAGCTCAGGGGAATGTTCTACGAAGAAAGGTTCAGGGAAATCGAACTGACGACACCGGATGACAGGAGGGTCAGGGGAGACATGATAACATACAAAATAATGCGTGGAATAGACAAGGTGGACAGAGACAGGATGTTCCAGAGAGGGGACACAGAAACAAGGGGTCACAATTGGAAGCTGAAGACTCAGACGAGTCACAGGGATGTTAGGAAGTACTTCTTCAGTCACAGAGTCGTCAGGAAGTGGAATAGCCTAGCAAGTGATGTAGTGGAGGCAGGAACCATACATAGCTTTAAGACGAGGTATGACAAAGCTCAGGAAGCAGAGAAAGGACCTAGTAGCGATCAGTGAAGAGGCGGGGCCAGGAGTTGAGTATCGACCCCTGCAACCACAATTAGGCGAGTACAATTAGGGGAGTACCCCATCCCGTGGAAGGGTGTAGCGTAGAAGCAAATAAACACGTACAGTCACGTTGCGTTTCTGTACGAATCTTGTTAGTAGATTATATCTAGGGATTGCATGCATAACATACATTACCCATAAAAATAATAATGATTACACCAGTCAAGTGATGGACAACAAACTGGATCAGGAGCTAGAGCTTACTGCTCCAAGCACCTGTCTTTTAAAAAATGTCCACAAACTTACATATACATAAGTACACTTGACGAAAAGGTATATACTCAAGAGAGGGTTATATCTCTCAGTGTACAGTGCAGTGACAGTTTATTCGGTAGTTTAAAGATTAAAATATTCTTGAATGGTGATGTACATTGGTGGACCGCTGTCATAATCCTCGTCCAGTTGACAGGGATCAACCCTAAGAAGCTAAGAGTACACTCACAGACCAGAGTGCAGAACTGTTTAACAGTCAGTGGTTACTGCTGCCGTTACATGTACATTCAGAGTCCGTTTTCTGGCTTGGACAGCATCTCCCCCCCCCCCGCACCCCAGATCTCTGACTCTCCCAACCCTCTTTCTGGCTCTTCGAGCCATCTTTCTGTTTCAGCCCTCTTTCTGGCTCTTCCAGCCGTCTTTCTGGCTCTTTCAGCCGTCTTTCTTGATCTCCCAGCTATCTGGCTCTCCCAGCATTATATCTGGCTATCCCAGCATTATATCTGGCTCTCCCAGCATTATATCTGGCTCTCCCAGCATTATATCTGGCTATCCCAGCATTATATCTGGCTCTCCCAGCATTATATCTGGCTCTCCCAGCATTATATCTGGCTCTCCCAGCATTATATCTGGCTCTCCCAGCATTATATCTGGCTCTCCCAGCATTATATCTGGCTCTCCCA